GGAAGGAGCTATCCAGGCAATACCCCCCCCTTCCATTACCTCAAGAAATACCCCCTCAACTATAATCTTTTTCAGCCCTTAGGCGTATCTTATATCTTATAAGGAGGCCAAACAACAAAACCTCTCACCTCCATTTAAATTAACATTTTTCAAACACAAAAATCCTCTATTGTTATTAGCGGCATTATTATTTTGTTTTTCTTCCACTGGATTTTGAGCATCACCCCCGCAACTTGTTGTACTTATACCGTATTTACTAAAAAATGCTTGTTGTTCTCTATTTATTGCTGCATCTGCAACACGTACACGGCTCATTAGACTTAGGCCCTTTTTAATTAAAAAAAATTTTTTTTTAATTTCGGAGGAAAAATCCGCAAAATATTTTTCGTCCGCAAAATATTTTTCGTCCGCAAAAATTTTTTTGTCCGCAAAATTTTTTGCGGACAAAATTTTTTGCAGATTTTTAATTAAAAAATCACTTTAGCTATTGTTTTAAATTTTGGACGAACATAAGTTTGATTTGTTGATTTGTCTGAAAAAATTTCTCTTAAACCTAAGAACAAATCTTGTTTTATTGGACCTGGCTCAAAAATAGCAGCAGTAGAAGTGCCTTCATTAGCCTCAACAATATTTATTTGATTAGGCTGATTTGATCCTTTGTTTATAAAAAATAATATTAATTATAATGATCAAAATAATTAAAAATTAATTATGTCCATAGCCCCATAATACTCAAATAACAAAAGGTCCAAAACCCTGAGGGACTGGGACGTTTTGGCGCGAGCTTATAAGATAGCGAGTTCGATATCAAAAATGATAAAATTTTGCAATAATAACTCTCGTGCCTTTAACTAAGTTCTCCAAAAATTTCAGAATTTTTGATCAAGAATTTTGGAAATTGTGGCCAAAAATGTTGATTTTCTGAAAAATGCCTAATTTTTCGAGGTTTATCGACTATAACTTAGAAATTTTTGATGAAAAATTCTGTAATTTCTGGAGGAGGTAGTCAAGGATGTTAAATAAATTTGAGAAAATTTTTATGAAATTAGGTCTCGCCTAAGTGCCACTTTTTTGTTCTCGCGCCAAAACGTCCCCAACCCAAGCCCTGATTCTTGTCAATTTTTGTGTTGGATATTTGGGTATATCAACTAAATTCACTATAAGATTTTTAATAAGATTTTTTCCTTATTTCAGCGGACTGTCTCACAGTCTTATTATTAGATATGAGCCGAAAAATTCACCTTGTTCAGTCTGTTGTTGAATATTTTCTTCTTCAAAAGCTTTGGAATGTTTCCGAATAGGAGCAAGTCTACCTTGCGGTATATGCTTTCTTTCCTTCAGTGCCATTAACAAATTTAAATAAATTTTCTAATTAAGCTGCTTTTGTTTAAATTTTACAAAAAAAAATTTTTTCAAAATAAATTTAAAAATTGAAAAAAAAAATAAAAGAGAGAGAATTTCCTCTCTCTCTTGACACAAATTAGTAAAAAAAGAATTTTTCATTCTCATAATAATAAAAAAATAATAATGAGGGAATCATCTCCCTTTAAAAAGGAAAAAAATATTGCTCTTTTTCATAGGTAAATTAAAAAAAACTGAAAATAATTTTTTTTAATAAATATAACAAATAATAATTGAGGACTTTTGTTTAATAGTTGCTGTTGGTTACTCTATTAAATATAAATAATTTTATATAAATAATTTCTAACTTAAAAATTAATTTTGATTTGAAAGAAAAAATGGTAAAAGGAGGATAAGAAAGAAAAGAAAATCAGAACAGAAATAAAAACAGAAATTAAACAAAATTGGAACACAAAAAATCAGAACAAAAATCAGAAGAAATCGGGAAAAATGAGCAGTTGACAACACCCACTTCAATTAAAATAAATATAATATTTTCCCTAAAATTCAAAACAAAAGGAGAACGTCAAAATACAATTTCTTTAAAATCACAAGATACTTATGTTGATAACAGGAACCGCGCCGACAGAAAACCAAAGTCTCGATTTTCGTAAATCGGTCCGGCGCGATCCCTGATTGATAATATAAAAATAAAAAAAATTAAAAATTAAATTTAATTAATTATAATTAACAGCTGAATAAATAAAATAACAGAATTTATATTTAGAAACCAAAAATCATGGAACGTTTTAAAATTTAAAAATCAAAGAGTATCTGCAAAAAAGTATTTTTTTATAAAAATAAAATTTATTATTTGCTAAAAACTCTAAAAAAACTTCCAAAAGAGATATAGAAAATAAGAAAAAGGTAAGGTTATACCCCCCCCCCCCCAAAAAAAAAGAAGAATCTATAGCGAGCTCAACCTACCGCCGAAGCTATAACTTTCGTTAAAAATTGTCGAGTATTGACGACTTGGTATGGCTTGGATCCAGCTCATCGAGATGCATCGAAACATACCAGAGCGTCTCGGATTCAACAATTCTGAACGAAGTTATAGCCTCGGCGGTAGCATAGGCTCGCGGTAGGTTGGCCTGCTCCCAAAAAAAGGAAGTATTGGTTGGATAATAATTTTTAAAAAATTAAAAAAAATTTTTGAATTAAAAAAGGGATGAATTCTTGCAAGAAAAAAAATTATTTAAAATTTTTTTTTCAATTTTATTATTTATTAACGTCATTAATAATATTTTATTTAAAGCATTTATTTGAATATTCGTTTGTAAAAAATATTAATATTCTTCTTTTTTAATTGTTGTAATTTTTTATTGAATAAATTATATAGGCATTAGATGAGTAAAAGCCTTTATTAAATAAAAAGGAAAATAAAAGAGAGAAAGTTTTCCTCAAAAAAATTTTTATTATTAATTATTGTCACTCTTTAAACAAAATTCTTTACAATTCCCTGATTTTTATTTTATTAAAGAAATATTTTTTCTTGTTAATAAAGGCATTATTTCACCTTAAAAGTTGTCATCTACCAAAAAATATTGGGCATTTGTTGGTTCCAGCTCCGGGCATTTCAAATTACTCTCCGGCTCCGGAGCTACTAGTTTCCCGCTTTTCCTTATCAAAAAAAATTTTTTTTCAAAAATTTTTCACAGCTTAGGTAATTCTTAGGAAAAACACGTCTAATATTCCTGATCAAAAAAATTTTTTGGAGAAAAAATTTTGGCTCTTGTCCAGTTTATGCGTCCCATGAAAGTATATGCGTCCCATCAACAAAGAATTGGATATTTCTTGGTGTTGCAAAGTAGGGGTATGGTTCCAAAGCATTTCTTCATGTTCGGGATCTACGTCCACTGGGTCTGGGACCGTTCCTTACCCTATCCCTCAAAATTTCTGAAAGTTAAAATCGTTTTTCTGAAATTTTTAAAAATTGGCTATAACTTTCAGAAATTTCGAAGGATAGGGTAAGGAACGGTCCCAGACCCAGTGGACGTAGATCCCGAACATGAAGAAATGCTTTGGAACCATACCCCTACTTTGCAACACCAAGAAATATTCAATTTTTTGTTGATGGGACGCATATACTTTCATGGGACGCATAAACTGGACAAGAGCCAAAATTTTTTTCAAAACTTAATTCATAGGAAATTATAATATATCAACTACAACCAAACAAGTTCAAAGAAACAAAATGAAAGATAACAACTTTATTAAATTCCAAAATTTAATATTTTTATTAAAAATTTTAATTTTTGGAATATGTTACGGTGAGGATATAAAATTTAGAATTGTTACTTTAAATATATGGAATGGAGGAATACATGGAGGAGGGAGGGAAGAAGGGCTATTTAAATTTGCTCAACACCTTGCAAATTTAAGTGCTGATATTGTTGCATTACAGGTAGATAGTACCTGATAGATAAAATTAAATTTTAAGATGTCGGTGGCGGTTCGAAAGCCCTTTGAAATATACATCATTCGATTCGTCTCGGCGAGCTGAGTCGACTGGTACCACTCCCAGGGTGCGGAAACGCCTGCGGACCGAGATCCCTGAAAGTCGAAAAAGGATCCCTGAAAGTCGAAAAAGGATCCCTGAAAGTCGAAAAAGCATAGGGAAAGTTTTCACCCTCAATTTTCGGGAAAAAACAACAAAAAATTCTAACATAATCACAAGGAAAAAATACGACCAAAAATAGTAATAAAAATAAGGCTTTACTAGCTAAAATTCAAAAATAGTAAATTCAGAATAAAAATTAACAAACTTAAAAATTAGGAAAAAAATGAGAGACGAAAAAGTAATAATATTTAAAAAAAAATAAATTTTGTAAGAAAATTTTCTAGAAATTTTTAGAATTTTTTTTTAATTTCAGAAATTTTTTCAATTAAAAATTTAAATCCACAAATTTGTTTTAAAAGGAAGTACTACAAATCGGTGATGAAAAAATAATAGCCAAACATTTGAATAATTTACAAAATATTTCCGACCCCAAACAGAAATGGATCAGTATAAAAAGATCGTGTATATATGCAGACACAGCTATATTGAGCAAACTGCATGTGGGTATTAAAAAATAATAAAAAATCAGAATTTATAGATAATCAGAATTTATAAAATACAGAATTTTAAAAACCAGAATTTTAAAAACCAGAATTTTTAAAATCAGAATTTATGAAAATCAGAATTCTAAAAAATCAGAATTTTTAAAATCAGAATTCTAAGAAATCAGAATTTGTGAAAATCAGAATCCAAAAAAATCAGAATTCAAAAAAATCAGAATTTTTAAAATCAGAATTTGTGAAAATCAGAATTATTAAAATCAGAATTCAAAAAAATCAGAATTATACAAATCAGAATTTGTAAAAGAATTAATCAGAATAAAAATCAGAATTATTTTTATTTATTCAACGTTAAAGCACACCGAGATTTCTGATGATGGCTGTAATACGGCTGGCAACGGCGCCTCATTCGAACTTAAGGGATGGCCAATTAATTTATTTTCACTACATTTGTTCTGGGGAAATTATGGACCCGAAATAATAAGAGATAATAGGAGCAAAACAGAAGCCGAAATTTATGAAAGTGAAAAAGGTAAAGAATGAAGGGTTTTAAAAATCAGAATTTGTAAAAATAATCAGAAAAATAATCATAATAGAGCAGAAAAATTTAAAAAATCAGAACAATTTCAAAAGATCAGAACAATTTCAGAAAATCAGAAAAAATCAGAATAATTTCAGAAAATCAGAAGAAAGCAGAAAATTTCAGAAAATCAGAACGATTTCAGAAAATCAGAATAAATCAGAACAATTTCAGAATAATATCAGAATAAAGGATTTTTTGATAAATCGTATTCATATTTATCAGAATTTTAGAAAATCAGAATTTGTAAAAATCAGAATTATTTTTTTTCAGACCGTATTAATGATATTGCACAACTTTTTCTTAACAACAAACAATTCAAAGATTGGCTTAACAAAAGCCAAGAACTGTCTGTGCCATTATTGTTAGTTGGTGATTTTAATACACCATCGCATCAGGATTGGATTGAAGAAACAAAGTGAGAATTAAAATAAATTTTTCAATCAGAAAATTTCTTTAAGACAAAGTCATTATGGAAGAGTTATTGAATGGCCAACGACAAAAATTCTGACAGAAGCTGGGTTTATAGATACATTTCGAGCTCTTAACAATCCTTTAGAAGAACCGGGTAGTGTATTTTTTGAATATCAAAGTGAAAAAAAATCAAAGGGACCAGAAAAATTGAGGATCAGAATAAAGTCAGAAAAAGGATCAGAATAAAGTCAGAACATTTCAGAAAATCAGAATAAGTTCAGAGTAAAATCAGAACACTTTCAGAATAATTTCAGAAAATCAGAACAATTTCAGAATAAAATCAGAACACTTTCAGAATAATTTCTGAAAGTCAGAATAATATCAGAATAAAATCAGAACATTTCAGAAAATCAGAATAAGTTCAGAATAAAGTTAGAATAAAATTCAGAATAATTTCAGAAAGTCAGAATAATTTTAAAATAATATCAGTATAAAATCAGAACACTCACAGAAAACCTGAAACCAGAACAATTTCAGAATAATGTCAAAATAAAATCAGAACAAACTAAAAAATCAGAAAAAATCACAGAAACAATTATGACTAGCAGTATCTTAATAATGATAGTAAAAATAATTCTGACGGATAAAGTCAGAAAATAAGACAACAAAAAAATAAGACAATTTCCCATCCAATAATGATAAAAAATTATTTTTTTTCACCACCACAGGCACAACTTGGCCATTTAATTATAACCCTGCCAGAGCAACACCAGATGAACCAGCAGACCGTATCGACTACATTTTCTATCAAGGATCACAACTAATTCCATTGGAAGCATTTACATACCCAACCAACAAAAATTTAGGTCCTCAGGAATGGCCATCAGACCATGCCGCTATAGTTGTCGATTTTATTTGGGAACAAGAAGTTGTCGATTATGACGCTAATGGGATTTAAAAATAAAATATAAGACAGGGTACCACTCTCTTGATAATATTCCTCCTTTGATAAATAAGTATTCTTATAGATAAGCACATTTCCAATTTCCTGAGCACGAGGGTTGGTTTGTAAGTACTGTATTTTCAAAATAAGTTCGAATCGCTGGCTAAAAGCATTTTTCCTGCATTCTACTACTCCTTTGACTTCTACCCCTTCTAAATACCCTACCCATTTTTCTTTTAGTTTCCCTCAGGGTATTAAATGATAGCTTAACAGTTTTTTGAGATTTTCAGTTTCCATCTTCCTCTTCTTCAAAATTCAAATACCCTATTTTTAATTGCGTTTTTGATAAATTTATTACAAATTTATATTCTTAAAGCTTTCATGTTTCCTTATTCTTGCCAAGCTGTTAATCTCCCATTTGATAACCTGATGCAAAGGAGTCTAGACCAGACATGCACTAAACGTTTCGTTTCGTTGTTTCGTTAGTTTCGTTATGTTTTTTTCTGTTTCGTCTCGTTTCGTGACGAAACACTTTTTAATTTGTTTCGTTTCGTTTTGTTAACGAAACACCTGTGTTTCGTTAACGAAACATTACCAATTTTATAGCCCAAAATATTACCCAAAACTGAAAAAATGCCCCTTTGGTGATGAAAATTTTAAAAATTTTTGCCTGCGACGCATAATTTACTATATTTTTTGAATTTCCTGTTTAATTTTATGTTTTTTAATACGCAAAGTTCGAATTCCATGCCAGATTAGGCATATAGTAATGTATACTCTTGCCAATCAGGGTCGGGCGCAAGAGAATCGAATTTAAAATTTCAATTTCAATAAACGAAGGGGCGGGCGCAAGAGACAAGTTCCAAAAACGCAAAACGCAACGCAAGGCCAAAAATCAACGCAAAACACAAAAAACGCAAAACGCAAGAGCGCAAAAAAATCGTCAGGAATCAAGAGCGGGTTTCGGGAATAGTAATTTCCGACAAAATTATTTGCTGATTTTATAAACGGCAGGATCCCTGATTTACACATTTTCCCAAAACATAATTCGATAGTAGTCGATTTGCCGGAATTGAGGCTGATATAGTGGATAAAGAGGGAAACAGGCGAAAATTTTGGAGCCTGGGACCACAATATAAGGTCCCATAAAGCTATGAGATTATATATATCTCATAGCTTTTTTTTATATCTCATAGCTTTTTTTTGATTCTTCTCTAATAAAGTTTGATTCTTCTCTCTTTGATTCTTCTCTAATAAGTATATAAGCCATAACTGGTATATTAACGCGTTTAAAATAGAATAATTAAAAAAATAAAACGTTTTTATTAAATTTTTCTGAAAATTACAATGTTTCGTTTTGTTTCGTTTCGTTTCGCTAAATTTATACTGTTTCGTCTCGTACCGTTAACGAAACGATTTTTAAAAATTTTTGTTTCGTTTCGTCTGAAAAAATTTTGGAGTTTCGTGCATGTCTGGTCTAGACATCTACCCCCAACAGTTTTGATTCTTCTCTAATAAAGTTTTCAATTTTGGCTAGTCTCCGGCTATTCTAATAGATTTTACATTACATATTTTTTTTTATTTTATTTAATCCACTATTGTCAAATTTCTTCATAAATAAATTTCTATACTAGGTAGTACCTCAATAAATTTTAATGTTGAGGGAGGTTGTTCATTTTTTAAATAAATTGCTGCCATGGCAATAAATATACTCTGTGCATATACATATTTATTGTTAAGCAATTCACAGTGCCATTAAAAATTATTTTTTCCTTGAATTTATTTTCATTAAATATTTAGGTGAGGGTGGTTATTTAATTTACTCAAAAACAGCAAAATAAATTTATTTCCCAAACCTAAAAAAAGGTTTTGCACCATGGAGACTTAAAAGAGGAGAACGTTAGTGGGTAGTTCGTAAGCTCCCTCTTGTAAGCCCCTTCCAGTCCAATCTTTGGTTGTTATATCAGTTTATACCAGTCTAGGTAGTACCTCAATACCAGTCTAGGTAGTACCTCATAAAATCTGATTCATAAGAATTTGGAATTCCCAACTCGGAAAACGTCGAAAATTGCCGATTTTCGGAAATTGAGTTTAGACTTCATACTAACTTAGTCACTAATCCCTTCCATCCAATCCCTTTTTACATTTCAAATAATATTTTTAAAGAATAAATTATTGTTTAACTGCCTTCTATATTGGCGTTTTTGATCTATTAAAGGCCTATTTCTTCCCACCGGGCCTATTTCTTCCCACCGGGCCTATTTCTTCCCACCACAGATTCTGCATTCTGTGCACAGAACACGGATTTTGTGAAAATTCTACAATGGTAGATATTCTGAAATTCTGCAGGCACTGGAGAGGAATTGACCCAGAAAGAATTTATATGTTTCCTTACCAGCCTATATTTCTTCTAATATTTTTTATTTTTTCCTTTTTAATTTTTCTGCCCCTATTTTGCCCTTTTCTACCACTAAAAAAATTTAATTTTAAAAATCCTTTTTTAAATCCATCATTAATATTAACACCAACCAAAATAATTGCTTCTAATATTTAAAATACCTAGCTATTTACCTCAAAAACTCTCTCATCTTCTTCCCCCTTTTCTCCCCTTTTTTTACTTTTTTTACCGTCAAAAATGGCAATAAATGAATAAAAAAAGGAGAGTAGCTATTTAAATATACTGAAAAAAAATTTTTAGAAAGAAATTGCGTCACACAAAAAAGACAAAAAAAGAGAAGATCTCCTCACCTTTACGTAAATAAGTATATTTTTAATTCTGAAAAATAAAAACAAAAGCAAATAATTATTAAAAAATAATAATAAAATAGGTATATTAATAATAAATATACTAGACCTTTTTTTCAATTAAACAATGCACTATTTATTATACTTCCTTTTTTCGTCATATAAAAAATATTATTTAAGAATATATTTTATGTTTTTTTTGCTGCTATTTTTTCAATTTATTAAGAAAATTTTTTGGCTTTTGTTCAGTTTGTACCAGGGAGTGCCGAAGCAGATTTTAAAAAGCAAAAGGCGAAAGTCATTACAAAAAAGCGAGACGGAAGCGAGCTGAGTAAAAATTTGAGTTTCAGGTCGGGGTTTTTCAAAATTTTCTTTGGACCGAATTTTGGATGAGAAAAAAGTTCAGGTTTTGAGTAACCCGTGATATCCTTACTACACAATCACACCACCGGTCTATGCGTTTCTTTTTGTGTCAAATAGTTTAAATGTTAGAACCATAGTTAAGAACGTAATTTTTAATTAATTAAAAATTGTTTTAGCACATTTTTAGCTTGTATATTTAAATATCTAATTTTCTTCTAAATCTCTTTTTTAGCCCAAAATTAGTATTTTCTTTTCAATAAACAACCCCCCCCCTTCTTTATTTAAACAAAAATTAAGAACAAATTTGGATTTTTTTGTTTTTTCATGAATAAACATTTAAATATTTATTTTCTCAGAAAAAATATTTTTTTCTTCTAAAATATTCTGGTATGTTTATATAATCTTTGGTTTAACTATAAACAGAAAAAATATTTTTAACAAACAAACACTTTCTTCTTGTTTATTTATTCATTAACAATCGAATCTCGATAACACGTCTCCCCTGTCTCCCTTGTTAGCTCGTCTCTCTCTTTCCTTGATAGTTCTGTACAATTCGGTCTTGAGGAATGTTTTTTAACGAGATTTGACCCCCCTAGATACTACTTCAATTTAAAATGTTTTTTGGTTGTGGACTAGGACTGCCAATGGTTTATCCAAAACCTTGACTTTTTTTTCGACTTTAATTTTTCGATTTGAAATTTTTCGTCTTGAAACTCACCCAACTTTAATTTTAAATGGTGTATCAGAAATATATATTGATGGATTCAAAGAAGAATTTAGGAAAATTTAGGAATTTTTCAAAGAAGAACTTATGATATCCTTCAGATCCCCTTACATCCCCCTTATCTCATTGCCTTTGAAAATCCGGATCAGTTATTTTTCCCCTTAAGGATTGGTGTTTTTGATTGTTAAATAAAGAAGCTTTTTGGCTAAATGATACCCTCTATTTAATGTACAGCTCATTAGGAGACACCTCGTTTTTGCCCCTGAGAGGTTATCTTATAATAAGCTCCGATGTATTAAATCTGACTTTTGAAAGTCTTGAAAAGAGGCATAATGGGAGGGAAAAGGGAGAGGACGGGAAGGGAAGAGGATATATTAACTAGTTTTTTTTGCGGTTTTTTACTTTAAAAAACATTTTTTATGTAGAAAATGAGTAAAGTATTTAGTATAATATTTCAGTTGTATTTATGAGCAATATACTCTAAACATTTTTTGGGGGGTAGGGGAATGACGTCTTTTGTCGGGTGGATTACTTTGTCTGTGGATAGGGAGGGTCTTTTTTGCATTTTCTCTTTTATTTTACTAAAACACACAAATTTTCCTCTTAAAAAATTTTTTTTATTTCATAGCACTTTTATTTCTTTGCTTTTCTTTATTTTAAGTGCACAGATTTGGAAGGTTGAGATTTTTAATTTTGAAATAAAAATTTTTTTCGAATTGAATTTTTGATTTGCCCCACCCTGCTTTAACATGTTGGATAGTTGGAAATCTTCGGACATCCATATCCGGCCCGAACCGAAAATTTCCGGATATCCGGCCTTCTTTCGGATCCGGATATCCGGCCTTTACAACCTTACTGCCTCAAGAGGATAGGTATGTTAGTTCATCGTCACGGCCCGGTTCCTTTACTTTAATCTTAGACTTTTAATTTCCCGTTTTCTTAGACTTTTAATTTCCCCCCGAAAATCGAATCTTATATTTCGAATTTCGCATTTCTCATATTTAATTTCGAAATTGAATTTCGAAATTCAATTTCGAAATTCAATTTCGCATTTTCAAATTTTGTTTTTATTTCTTCACTATTTTATTTTATAAATTTCGTTAACTATAATACATAATCTAAAATAATTTTACTCAAACAAATTTTGATTAATTATTTTTACTCAATTTAATAATAATAATTGTTAAACTTGATTGTTATTTTTTAAATATTTTTTTTGATTAATTATTCTTGAGAATTTTGTAATCTTTGTACTTTTATTTCCAAATATAGTAATTTAGTTTATTTTTATTTTTTAAACAACAATAAATCAACAACCAAATATAGAAATAATTTTTTAACAAAAATTATTTTTTATGTTTTCTTTCCTCTTAAAATTATAGCTAATTTTAATTTAAGAATTATTTATTTATCCAAATTGTCTTACTTGTTTTACTCAACCAGAATGTCCACCATAAAAGTGACTTTATAACTAGAGTTGCCGTTTTAACTAGGTGAGCCGACGTTCGTTGCATTTTTTCGATTTCGGTTTTTTCGATTCGGTTCGTTTTCAAGTTTTTCGAGCTGAAAAGCCTCGGCTCGCTCGATCTTTCTAGTTTCGGTTCGAGCAGTTGCAACGATATATCCCGTGATATTTGGAGGTGTTTGGGGCCGAAAGGGTGAGTGTCGCCATTAAAGACGACACTTTTACAGCAATTCGAAATTTCGCGTTTCGAATTTCGTGTTTCGTCGTTTCGTAAAAAAAATTTTCGTTTTCGAAATTTCGTGAAATTTATTTTTTTGCTTCGAAACTGGGTACTATAGAAATGTATTTTTCAAACAAATTTTAATATTTTTCCAATAAATTTACAATAAATTACATTTTATTTTTACTGCTTTAAGAAAATCCCCTCGTTTCTTTTAAAATTTTTCTTCTATACATATTTCCTCTATAAAAAGGCTTTTTCTTCCTCTACCATTTTTCCTTTCTTTTCATCGTCAAAATATCGACTGCCCGTAATCCATAGATGAAAGCAAAATTGTTCGGGAGACGAAAAGAGAGAGAGGACCGCTGCAAATTGTGCAAAAACGTTTTTATAGCTAATAATGTTGGGAGGCTATAATGAGCAGAGAAAGAGAGAAAACTGGACAGTGCCGTCATTTATCCGGTCATATCTTATTAAGGGATGGTCGGATTATGTTGGTCTAGTTGGATAAATTATTCTGCATTTCAAGGGCTTTCGAATGATATAAAATTTGTTCAGATCGCCCAAGTCTGAAAGAAGTTATGGTCTGAGACTCAACTGTCCCCCCTATTTATTGGTTAGACATACAGACATATATTGCTCTAATAAATATAGACAGTTGTGTCTAACATCTCTAGGTTTGTGTAAAACTCATTGTTTTTAAACAAGACACGCTTTTTATCCTTCCTTTGTATTTTTCCAAGCCTTTTCGTCTAAAATATCATCATTATCTGTTTATTGTTTTACTTGATTCATTTAAATAATTTATTAATTTTGTCACCTATTGTTGAAGTAATTATTTTTTCTTTAACAATTCATTAATTCCTCTTTACAGTAGAGAACAAGGGACGGGCCAGGTTAAGAAAAAAGACGATCTACTGCAAAATCATCTGTCAACAAAGTTTCAATTTTTTGTATTTTTCTCTGCCGTCTCTTTCATTTACATTGTCTTTTTTGCTTATTCAACACTTTTGTGTTAGACTCTACTAGCCCTTCAACAAACTTTAAATTTTTGTATTTTTCTCTGCCGTCTCTATTATTTTCGTTATCTCTAGCATCCACTCAACACTTTAGTGTTAGACTCTACTACTCCTCTTTATTTCTCCTAAAGGCAATTGCCTCCAATTTTTATGTGTTTCTCTCCTATACAAAGTCACAAAAAAAAACCTTCCTTCACACACAAATATTCTATACTTCCCTTTCTATTTTCTCGAATATATTTTTCATTTTCTAGTCTCAATCCCCATGACTGCCACCACAACAAAACACTCACTCTTCTCGTCTTTTTTTTCCTTTTGTGGTTATTACTAGACCCCCTTTTTTGTGGGGTAGATGTGTGTATATATTTCAAACTATTTTTTTTTTCAAAACGTTTTTTCCCTTTAATTTTCCTTCTTTTTATTGATAAAATGGATGAACTTTCATTAAATGTTTAACACAAAAATCTTTTTCAGAATTTTATTTTTTTTATTCAAAAATCAATCCTTTCTAGTCTTCCATATTTTCTTTAATTTATTCAATCCAAACGATTAGTAATTTCACCTGCGTTTATGAGTATGGGTACGGTAGAGTCTCGGAACTTTGTTTTATCCTTCTCCTGGGTAAGGGGCAAAATAAAAAATTTTTTAAATTGAAAATGCAGATTTCTATCTTTGGGGACCGTGTCTTTCGTTTAGGGAGTTCGGTTTCAGACCGAACCGAACCCCTGAAGGTTCGGACCGGTTAACTAAAGAATTTGACGAAACCGGCAACACTGGGTTGGGGTAACTTAAGCGTGGAGCGTCAGCCAACATTGATCGACTATAACTTTTTCTTGACTCATCCAATACCATGAATTTTATATCATTTGAAAGCTCTCAATAAGCGCTATCTTTTTTCCAATTGGATGGATCATGTCTGATCGCTATTTAAAAAAATACGAGTCGATATGTGCAAGAAATCTTTGTTTTTCCATGACAAATTTAGCGAAATAACACCTTCCATTTTCTTCCTATTAATTTTCACTTTCTAAACAATATAAAAATTCTATTTAATTTTGTTTTTTTCCTTCAATAATTTCATTCTTAATTTCCCATTTTTTAGATTTTAAAATTATATATAATTTTCAATATGGCTACAAGATATCGCTATAGTGAATATATCGCATTAAGAGAATATTATAATAATAACGACAATAACGACAACAACAGCAACTAAATAAAAGCCAAAATCAGTAATTATATACAGCTGTAGTTCAGGTAAAAAAAATTTTTTTTTGTTTTTAATTAAATAAAAAAAATATAAAATAAGGTCAACTTTTTATTTCAATAGTTTATATATTTAGTGGGGAAGCGGACTAACTAGTGAAGGTTACGAGGTGTTCGAGCTAAAAACGGTCGATACCGGGTTCATTCGATAGAGAATGTGCCCTTTCTAGCAAGGATTTTGAGCCGTTTTTGCCCTTTTTTAATCTGGCCAAGATATGGCCCATCAAAGTCCCAAAATTTGACATAATTTTCCCCCTCCAAATACACCTCGCAACCTTCCCTAGTAAGCCCTAATCAGTGTTTGGGAATTTTTAAAAAGTTGCTCGCTCTCGTAAATGCCCGTGTTTTTTACTTGTACTCGTATTCCGGTCAATACTTCCAAAATTTTGGTACGAACATCCAAGGAGCATCCAAACAGTGGTTTTGCTTGCCGGATATTTTGTATTATCGAGCAATATTGACTAAAGTTTGCTCAGTGGTTTAATTGGATGCGTTTAGGTTTTGACTGTTATTAGTTGAAGGTTCGAACCTGTTGGCTTGAAACCAGAGTTTATTTTGTTGATACTCTGTTTTGAGCCCCAAAAACAATTCCCTTTTGACGATAAAATTATTTTTATTTTTTTTATTGTCTCCTGAATTACTTTCATTTTTTTAGTTTAAAAATCAAACAAACTCTCTTCCTTCAAAAACTTCCTTCATTTTATTATTATATTTAAACAATTGGAGTGCTCTTTTCTCGACGCATAAATAACCAGCAAAATGAGTGAATTGGATCAATTACGACAGGAGGCGGAACAGTTAAAAAGTCAAATTAGAGTATGTTTTCTAATAATTTTGGGGAGGGTATGAGGGTTGGAACGGTCCTTGTGGATGATACCGACCGACTTTATTTTAATAGGGGATTATTCTGAGATATTTTTGAACTTTTTTGTTTTCTGTTTCATTTTTTCCACTTTTTTCTCTGTCAAGTAATTCAAGCAAAAGCCTGGGTAAAATTTAGTTAAAGTCACTTATCGGAGTTTAAATTGAAATTGGATGTTTTTCGGCTATTAGAGAGCGAGATTTTTGAAAAGCCTGGGCCTGTTCCTGGGTCTGGGTTTGATTTATTGGCCTGTGCCGAATTCCGTGCCTGTAGTCCAGGATAAACCCAGACCCAGGAAAAACTTGGGAAGATCAAAAAATGCCTGAGCCTGGACTCTGGGTAAACGAAAACCCAGGCTTTGGTCCAGGCACATCTCGGTCTCTATTGGATATATACTTTGATTATTTTCATATAATCTAGTTTAAAAAATTAATTTTATAGGAAGCTCGAAAACAAGCAAATGACACAACACTTGCCTCCGTGGCAGCTAATTTGGAACCAATCGGTCGGATTCAGGTATTAAATTTACCCCAATTCCTTCACACATTTTTCTAATTTTGTATAACCAGATGCGGACCAGACGGACATTGCGTGGACATTTGGCTAAAATTTATGCAATGCATTGGGCTTCTGATTCTCGGAATTTGGTTTCTGCCTCTCAAGATGGAAAACTTATTGTTTGGGACTCTTACACTACAAATAAGGTTTTTTTAATTTTGTTGGAATATAAATGGAAAATATACAATAGCTTATAATCTAATTGTAAGTACTAATTGTAAGGTCGATGGTAACCAGAGTCTGAACTTTTCGGCATGCCACGATAGTTATTGGGGGTTTTTTCTTAAACTGACCCTAAACTCGGCCCGGGTTCGAACTCTAATGTTAATCATTCCATTTGTCTTATTGGTTGATTTTAAAAATAAATCGGGTGTCTTGTTGGTTCAATCGTTTAAAAACTGGACTTTGTTGAAGCTCATCGCAGGTTCGAATCCTGTGTTGGTCTATTTTACTAATATTTGCCCGATGATGACAAATTTTACGTGAAGATGGCTCAAAGGCGAAATTTAAAATTTATTTTGAATAGTAGCCTTGCCTATGACGTCTAAATGATTATGAGATTTGAGGGCACTTTTTTAAGTTATTTTTTTTAATTCGAATTTGATCAAAAAATTAATTTTTCTCCTTTTTTTCAAGGTGCATGCCATTCCTCTCCGTTCCAGTTGGGTAATGACTTGTGCTTATGCACCAAGTGGATCATTTGTTGCTTGTGGTGGTTTAGACAATATTTGTAGTATTTATTCGTTAAAAACTCGTGAGGGAAATGTTCGGGTCAGTCGTGAATTGCCTGGACATACAGGATATCTCTCTTGTTGCCGTTTTCTAGATGATAATCAAATTGTTACTTCTTCTGGTGATATGACTTGGTTTTTTTTAATTTGAATTTTTTCTTAAAAAAATTTGTTTAAAGTGCTCTCTGGGATATCGAAACAGGCCAACAATTAACGACATTTACTGGACATACAGGGGATGTAATGTCACTTTCTCTGTCTCCAGATATGCGTACATTTATTTCTGGGGCTTGTGATGCTTCTGCAAAACTTTGGGATATTCGTGAAGGAATGTGTAAACAAACTTTTCCTGGACACGAATCTGACATTAATGCTGTTTCGGTTTGTTTTCTGGAAATTTAATTTTGGGTTTTAGATGGTTTTGGTAAACAAGGGAGGGATGGTTTTTGGCTTTTTAGCTTGGCAGGGCCAATTTTTTTTAGGTAAGAGTTATCAAAAGTTTAGTTGTCAGGAACCTTCTCTCTTATAGAATCGAGTTTTCTGTGAATTTAATTTTGGGGTTTTTGGTGATTTTAGTAACAAGTGTGGGATGTTTTTGGCTTTTTTAATGTGGCAGGGCCCATCTCTTTTAGGTAAGAGTTATCAAAAGTTTAGTTATTGCGAATTGGACCAACAAGCTACCCTTCCCTCTTATAGAATCTATTGCCTTTTCCCGATTTTTATAGCCTTTTAAATGCTAACAATAAACAACTAGTTTATCAACTTAATGTTAGAGCTTTTACTACTTTACACTGGGTAAGGGAACATTCCGAACTGTCTTCCTTTTCACAATTTTCCTAACTAGTGTACCTTTTCCTGTTTTCTACAATAATAGAACCTAAAATAGACAAGAACCAAAACATTTGCTTATATGAATTCCCACACTTCGATTAAAATATGAACAAAATATTTAAAGCACATATATTTTTTTCGTTTATTTTAGTTCTTTCCTAATGGACATGCTTTCGCTACTGGCTCAGATGATGCTACTTGTCGACTTTTTGACATTCGAGCAGACCAAGAGTTGGCCATGTACTCGCATGACAATATAATTTGCGGTTTGTTTTTTAAGGGAGAATTCTTCAAAAAATTTAATTTTTAAAGGAATTACCAGCGTTGCCTTCTCCAAATCTGGACGTCTACTCTTTGCTGGTTATGACGATTTTAATTGTAATGTTTGGGATTCTATGCGTCAAGAACGAGCTGGTAAAGATTTTTTAATTTTTTTTATTTTTAAATTAAATTTTTTTTCATTTTTTAGGTGTTTTGGCAGGGCACGACAATCGTGTTTCTTGTTTGGGCGTTACTGATGATGGAATGGCTGTTTGTACTGGTTCCTGGGACAGTTTCTTAAAAATTTGGAATTGAGTTAAAAATAAATTAAAGGAGGTTTGATTTGAATAAAAATTTGTTTTCTCGTTTTTTTTGACAGCAAATCTCTCTCTTAAAATTTTTTTAAATCTCTCTTTTCTTTCATCCAAACTATTTTAACAAAAGACTTAAAAGTTACAAGCTTATACACTTAAGTTTATAAAACTGATAATTTTTTCAGGTTTTCAAAATAAGACAAGTTGGTAAAGTTAATAAAAAAATCAAGTTTGTAAACTTGAGTTTTTAAGTTTATAAACTTGGAAGCTTAAGTTTATAAAAAATAAACTTATTTTTACAACTTGAATTATGTTTGTTATTGTCTAGAAAATAAACTTAAGTTCATAAACAAAACAAGTTTATAAACTTGTAGGCTTAAGTTTATAGTTAAGTAAATAAGTTTATTTCTTAGGCAAATAAATAACAGACTTTATTTAAGCTTAAGTTTGTAAAAACAAGTTTGCAATATCAAAAGCTAAGTAGACTCAAAAACTTGAGTGTATTACATAGAAAATTCAAGTTTGTAAACTTAAGTTTTTAACACTTTTAAAAATAATATACAACTTTTAATAAATGTAACAAAACTTTTATTGAGAAGAGAGAGTTTATATATGGGGAGAGATGTGTAAAACTCCCAGATTTGTTTTTTAATTATTTTTTTTTCTGCTGTCAATTTATGTGTATGTGTCCCCTGCCTCCAACCAACCACCCGACTTTTACTCTTTACCCATTATTTAATCTTTCAAAATTTTTTGCTTTTCTGTTGTCATTTAAATTGGTTTTTTTAACGTTACGCTTAAAATGTATTTTTTTAAATAATTTTGTCGAGAAAATTGGACAATTAATTAGAGTTTGGGGGAATTTTGTTTCGATTAAAGATTTTAAAAAAATTCTAAAAATTATAGCTTGTTTATAGAATAGCATTTAGGCTATTATGTATATGAACGTTACCTTAATTGTCCAATTTTTAATTTTTTAAAGGAGATCAACACCTTTGGGATTTAGGTTTGGGTTTAAAAATAGGGAGAGAGGTGAATATTTATTTTTGCTGGGACAATATTTAAATTTATAAATTTTATAGTTTCCCTTCCTTTATTTAAGGTTATCTTTCCTGAAAACATTTTCATAGTTCTGAATCCTACTCCTTAAGAAACATAAACTTTCTGAAGTCCCAAAAGTCTCTCCTTAGTTTCATTGACTTTTTTTCTGCTAATATTTACTCTCAGGCCCGTAACCAGGGGGGGGGTGAGGGGGGGAATTCCCCCCCCCCCCCCCGAAATGGGAAAAAGGAAAAAATTTGGGGAAGGGCTGGGGCAAAAAAGTGAATTTTTTTGGCCTACGGCCTTCGAAATTTTCAAAATTTTCGCCTGCGGCGCTAAAAAAGGACGAAATCTGGCTTCTTGAGGTCCAAAATTCAAAAAATTTTCGCCTGCGGCGCTGAAAATCAAATTTTTGGCGCCTGCGGCGCCGAAAAAGTGAATTTTTTTGGCCTACGGCCTTCTAAAATTAAAAAAATTTTCGCCTGCGGCGCTGAAAATAAAAATTTTTGGCGCCTTCGGCGCCAAAAATTTGGCGCAAGCAAATTTCCCCCCCTCGAAAAAAAATCCTAGTTACGGGCCTGTTTACTCTTATAGAAAATGTCTTCTTTTCGACTCTTTTTTCTATCAATTAAATAGATGAGTAATTTAAAATGTTTTTACAATAAAATCTTGGGCAAGATATTTGCTAGACAATTATTTAGTAAAATGAAAGAGGGGAGTAATCTTTAAAAATATTAGGTATTTCAGAATTAGTTTCTTACAATTTCCGGAAGGTTATTCATTTTAAGTTTGTGAACTTGTAAACTTAAGTTTTAAAGTTCTTAAAAGTCAAGTTATAAAACTTAAGTTCATAAACTTTAAAATCAAACATAAACTTAAGTTTGCATACTCATAAACTTAAGCCAAGTTGCAAACTTAATTTCGTAAGTTTTAAAACTTAAGTTTATAGATTTAAGTTCTTAAGATGTCAAACTTACGAACTTAAGTTTGCAACTTGTTCTAAGTTTATGAGTCTGTAAACTTAAGTTTATAAGCTTGGTTTTAAAGTTTATGAACTTAAGTTTTGTATCTTGACTTTTAAGACTTAAGTTTAAGACAAATTTAAAACTTAAGTTTGCTGTCTTATTTTAAATTTAATATTAACAGGTATTAATTTTCATAATTCCGGAAAGATTAAAAATTTCTGATAACAAATTCGAAAATTAATAAAATAGATTGAAATCAGAAAAAGTCAAATTAAAAAAATAACAAAAGGAAAGACGGCAAGAAATTAAAAAAACAAAATTAATTTTAATAGGTATTTCCGTTTCTATTGCATTTTTCTGAAAGAATTTCCATTTTTTAAATTAAAAAGGTCGGTAGTAAGCAGGCGGTGGAGGTACAATTCTATGTTCTCCATTTAATGTATAATAAGTTGGATCGTTCGGATAAGAAAGGTATGGAGAAGCAGAAGGTGCGTGTACTGGCGTTTGTCCTCCGTGACTTGCAGACCTTGGCATTGGAGTTGGTGGGGGTATTTGCCAATAATTTTCTTGATAGTGGGTTGGGGTATCTTTTGATGCTACCTTGAAAAGAATTGAGCTTAAGAGAGAAAATTTGGTCTCGGGCAGGCATCGGTCCTGCGACTATTTTTAGGCTTTTGTTAGGCGCTCGGAGCTAACCGATTACAGATTGCTCTAACCTTGTCTTTTAATAGATCTTAAACCCCCATCCTAGTGAGCGTTATAAATGCTAATCAGTTGAATCTCCGAATCTCCCTTCTTCCATACAATACTCCGATAAACAAATTTAAATTTCCACGAAAATTTTAACCTCTCACCTTTTTAAACCATTCACGATAGCTAGCCTCTCCAATACCCCGAGGAGTTTCCACCATTTTATTTTGCGTTTTAACACCGTTCGGCACATTATTACAACTCTCACCTCCACTATTATTTGTTTTGGCAGTTGTACTGTTTTCACTTGCTCTGTCTTCTTTTTCCCCAGGGAAAGGAGTATAATGGCTTTGATTATAATTATTAGCTGCTCCGTTAAAGAAAAGATTATTTCCTCGTAAATTATTTTGATTATGACGATGCAAGGAAGAATGGTGTTTTGTTGGCTATAAAAAAGATTTTTCAGTTTTGAAAATCCGAAAAAATTTCCAAAAAAATTTCCAAAAATCTAACATAAGTCTGATGCTGCCGTGACTGTTTTCTGTTACGAAAAGCACAAAATAGAAGAGCTGTGGCAATAGAAAGTAACATAAAAGTCCCTAAAACAGCCAAAAGCCATCCTTGCCATTGTCCCCCCATTAAAGCTACTTTTTCCTTTTCTTCCCCAATTTCGTTTGTGTCATTTATCTCTCCTCCCTCCTCTTCATTTTCTTGTACTTCCAACATTTCTGAATCTAAAATTAATTCTGCAGGCATTTTTTGAGCAGCAGCTTCTTTCAGGAAATGTTTTAATTGTTTGGTAGTTGGTAATTCTTCATTATTTTTTAAAGTTGTGTTAAAAGTCATTTGAAGTAATGCAAGAACACTTCCCTCACTGTTAAGTTTAATAGTATTATAGCAATTTAAAAACTTAAGTTTACCAACTTAAGTTTATAGACTATCAAATTTTAAAATTGAGTATTTAAACTTGACATAAAAAGGTTTTGAGTACTTAAGTTTATAAACTTAAATCTTAAGTTTGTAAAAATAAAAACTTGAGTCTATGAACTTAAGCTTGTAAACTTGACCCCTTAGTTTTCGAAAAGTTTATAAAACTTGAAAACCTAAGTCTATGAACAAGTTAGTAAACACTTGACACTTAAGTTTTACAGACTTAGGTTTATATTTCTTAAGTTTGTAAACTTAAAACTTACGCAAATTTCTGTACGTTAATCATTTGAAGTGAGGGCCATCTAATAGAGATGAGTGATTGTAGCTTAAGGAAAATATTTAATATTTTTAAATAACTTTTGTAAATCCCCTACCGAATTGCTCAACTTTTGAGACATTAAAGAAAATTCTTCAGATTCAGGTTCTCCCAATTTTTCATCCCATTTTTCATTAGGAAGTTTAATTGCAACATTAAATACTTTCTTTTTGTATTTTTCGTCTACAACATTTTGTTGTTGTTTTACAATCTCAGGTGTTTCTTCAACCAAGTTTTTATTCATTTGTTCGTCTTCGGGTTTCTCTTGTTGTCGGGACAATGTTGAAGTAGTTGTTTTTGTTTTCTCTGTTGTTTGTTTCTCTGTTGTTTCTGTTATAGCAAATGTTTGTTCTATTTCTGATGTTTGTGTTGTTTTCTCTGCTTCTTTTGTTGTTGGTAATGTTGTTTGTTGAGATGTAGATTGTGTTTCTTGTTGTTTTTCTGTTGTTGACACTTCAGTTGTAACGTCAATAGAAACATCTGCCGTTGTAGAAGACAATTTTTGTCCACATTTACCCAAACATATCTAAAAGTGTTTTTGGATTTTGAGGAGTTTTCTTAGGTCTAAGAATTGGTCTAAAAATTCGAGTACAAATATTGGTACGAGCTTCCAACCACTTCTATTCCCTAGGGCATGCCCACTGTTCAAGGGGGCACCAACTGCCGCCAGGCATCGAACCTAAGTCCTCTTTTAAGTGCCTGAGTTTCTCATTAGGTTTTTACTAAAAATCTACTGCTTTACCATGTTTTCAGAAATTATAGGTGTTTTAATATGTTTCTTCATTTCATCACTTTCAGAAGTCAAAGGATTAGCTGTATGTAAGAAAATAAAATGTTGGCATTGTCTTAAATCAGCATCTTGTAAATCATCTTGGGTATATAGAGAACGAGAGAAATTTAAAGCCCAGAGGCCATCGACTGATTGGCTACTAATTTCCTCTATATTTTGCTTTGTATCAAGTAAAGGTTTATCATAGCTAGGCGAAAAACGGTCTTGTAATGTTATCCTTCCATCTTTACCCAAAATTGCAATTATCGCATCAGAATTGGTCTAAAAAATATTTAAAATTAAATTTAAGACTAAAACTATAGAATATTTCTCTCATATCAGAGAAAATCTCGAATCTTCTCAGCTCTTAAAAAGTCTTCAAAAAGTCTTTAAAAAAGTCTTCAAACTTGTTAAAGTTTAAAAATCGAGAGATTGGTAATTCAAAAATAAAGGTTAAGCATAGTATGAACTTAAAAACTTAAGTCTATAAAATTAATAATTTAAGTTTGTAAGATTAGGTTTATGAATTGAAGTTTATAAACTTATAACTAGGTTTACAAACTTAAGATTAGTTTAAGTTATTATAAACTTGAGTCGAGTGTACAAACTTGAGCTCAAGTTTATCAAATTAAGTCTAAGTTTATAAACATAACCCGAGCTTATAAACTTGAAAGCTTAAGTTTATATAAACTTGTGAATTTTTCAAGTATAAGAGTTGTAAAATTAAGTTCACGAACGCAAAAGTTAATAAAGCAAAATTTTAATCAAAAATATAAACACACCATAGTACCATCATTAGAAAACCCTACACCAGTCCAATGATTAGAAGGCATTCTGACATTTAATTGGAAATTAACTTTTCCCAATTCAGGCGTAACTATCCATTGTACCATATATTGACATTGTTTCATATTTCCATTAGCTGTTAACTGCATACAATCTTCTGGATATGCAAAACCGCCAAAGCAGTTTTCATCGGTTAAAATGGAGGTTCTGGATAGCTCGGAAGGTGATGAGGATGCAGACTTGAAAAAATTTCAATTTAATTAATATTTATTTTAAGGAAGAAAGCCTTAATTGATGGAGGTTTATGTGTCCGTTTCTTGTCAAAAATAATTTTTTTCTCGAAGCTAATAAAACTTTTAGACATGAAATTTTGCTAAAATATTCTCAAGAGGGTTAACTAACATCTCTAAAAATTTTAGAATGTTTGGTTTCATATTTTTCAAGTTAAGGACAAAAACCAAACAGAAATCGGCATTTTTCAAGGAAATTTGAACTTTTTTGACTATAACCTGTAAAATATATAACCAAAAATTCTGAAATTTATAGGGATGATAGTTAACACTATTAAGGATGTCTGTACAAAATTTCAGAATTTTAGAACATAATATGGCTGTTTTATAAAAGATTGCGCAGACTATACTTTAGCCAAAGCGCCCTCTTCTCTCGTAAGGGTTTTTATTAAAAATAATTAATTTCATTTTTTTCTGCCCCCAAAAATATTTTTTAAATTAATTAATTAAAAGTCTTCACCTCTTCTTCATCCTCTTCTTTATTTGTTTGTTCTTCAGTTGGTTCCTCTTCTTTCTCTATTACCTCCTTCTCAACTTCCTTCTCAACTTCCTTCTCCCCTTCAACATTTTCTTCAGAATTTTCCATTTCAGAACTCGCTTCTTTTACTTTTGTTTGTTTTGGAGAAACAGAAGAAACTGTTTTTATTGTTTCTGTAATATTTTCTGGTATGTTTGTTATTGTAGTTGTTGTTGTTGGGGAAGTAGTGGTTGTATGTTTTATTGTTGTGTTTTGAGTAATTTCTGAAATATTTTGAAAATAAATAAAATCAAAATTTAATAAAATCAGAATTATTAAAATCAGAATTTTTAAAATCAGAATTTAATAAAATCAGAATTTAATAAAATCAGAATTTTTAAAATCAGAATTATTAAAATCAGAATTTAAGTCAGAATTTAAAATCAGAATTTAATAAATCAGAATTTAATAAATCAGAATTTAATAAAATCAGAATTTTTAAAATCAGAATTTTTTAAATCAGAATTTAATAAAATCAGAATTTGATAAATCAGAACTACTCAAAATCAGAATTTAATAAATAAAAAATCAGAATTTATTCACCTTTACCAGCTCCAGCCATCAAATCAATCAAAGCAAATTCCAATTTTTCTGCTTGTGAAATTTCTGGTTTTATTCCATGCCCAGAAAAAAGAAAAACTTGGGTTTGGCCTTGTTGGATGGTCAAATCGCCGTTTGAATTGGTTGGGTCTAAAAATAATTTTTTAAAATAATTTTTTAAAATAATAATAAAATAATTTAAATCAGAATTTAACAAGTCAGAATAAAAATCAGAAAAAGAAAAACAGAAAAGCATCAGAAAAACGCCAGAATATGTTCAGAAAAGGTAAAAAATCAGAAAAAGACCAGAAAAAGTCAGAAAATGCAGAGAAAACCCCAGAATAAAATCAGAAATTAATTATAAATTATCGGGGAAAATCAGAAAAATATCAGAATTAAATCAGAATGTAATTAAAAATTAATCGAATAATCAGAATAAAAAACACCTTTTAACATTTTTGTTAACCAAAAAGTATTTTTGCCAGAATTATTAATTAATTCAACTCCAGTAAAAGATTGTTGCCCTCCCCAATGTTCATCTCTTCTTAGAGAATCATTGGAAAGACCAAAGGCATCAACAGCTCTTATAAATAATTTATTTTGATTTTCGGCTATCTGAAAAAATATTTTTTTTATTAAATCATTTTTTGAGAGGCAAGGGCATAAAAATAAAATTAAGGAGAACGGAAAGTTTTCAGAATTTTTCAGGATTTTTACCTGTATTATAGCAACATCAGCACATTGAAAGGGTAATCCTGATTGTTTCTCTTCTTCATCCTCATTCTCTACATTTCTAACCCTTCTTCTTCCAATTTGTTCCTTTTCTGAATTTTTAAAGTTTGTGGGCCTATCACAAAGGCAAATTTGGGTCGGTGAAGAAATTGGCTGTTGTTGGTCGTGAAAACCGATTGGGGTACGTGCCTTTGAATTTTTATTGAAAATAAATTTTTTTAAAATAAATTTAGAAATTAAAAAATTCAAAAAAAAATTTTTTGTGTATTAATGTGCTAATTGACGTCACGGAGACGTGAGTTAGTCGGAGCCTTATAAAATATCTCAATGAAAACTTTGAGGCATAAAATTTTGTTTAGTGATTAATAAAAGTGTTATCCACCTTCAATAAAAATTTCAGAATTTTTGGTTTTGTATTTCAGAACTTTTGGATGAAAATATCAGAATTTTCGTGGAAAATGCTGATTTTCTGGAGTTTTTCGACCAGAACTTCTGAAATAATGAACCAAAAATTCTGAAATTATGGAACTAGTTAGATAACACTGTTAGGGCAAGGTGTGCAAATTTCCAAGTTTTTAGGTATAAATTAGGCAATTTTATAACCCTGTGCAAAATCGCCCCTTAATACATTATAATTCCGTTTCGTATTTATTTTTATATTAATTTTTCATTAAAAAATTCATTAAAAATTCAAAATCACCTGTTGAAAGTCACGACTAGAATGTGCCATCACCCTTCCACCTTGTACAGGAAAGAGAAAATGAGCACATTGTGCCAAACTTAAATCTGTGCTTTTGTCTGGACTAACAACTTTGCGACGGAAGGATATTGTCTTTAAATATTAATTTTTATTTATTTTTTGTTACTTTTTCGATTTTATAATTTCAATTGGATATTTCAATTAGTAATTAACACTCATAAATTCATCGAAAAGAGGGCAGACTTTACAAAGTCTTCTGTTAATGGACCAAGATAATCTCTCTATTTACCTGTATATCATCAATTAAAGCCCCTCCAATATCAAAAATATCTTGTCTATCAACAGGGTCAATAGCTGGTTGTTGCTGAGCAAAAGCAAAACGATCGGTTAAATACGGCTTTAAAAATTTAATTTTTAAATTAAAATTAATTTTTCTAAACTTTTTGGCATAAAACCATCCAGTAATAATATCAGAACCGGCCATTTTTCCATCTTTTGAAAATCCAATTCCTGTCCAACGACCAATACCGCGAGAAGAAACGTTAAACTTTAATTTTAATTAATCTTTAAAAGTTTTTTTTTTAATTTTTTTGGGGGTTTTGAAGAAATAAAATATTTAATATTAAGTAAAATTAAATTTAAGAATTTTAAAAAATTTCTTAATTTCTAAATTAAATTACAGAATGTTTGTTAATTCTGAATTAAAATTAAAATTTAAGAAGTGAGAATTCAGAATTTTCCCTTTTAAACAAAAAATCTAAAGCATTTTCTGTTGATTGACAATGCTTACGCGGAGTTTTATAATGCAGCCCAATTAATAGCTATAACCATGAAATTTTGCCCAGATATATTTAATAATATTATCTAACAATTCTGAAAATTTCAGAATTTCTGGTTTGATATTTCAAAAGTTCTGGTCAGAAAACTACAAAAATCGACATTTTTCGCCAAAATTTTCAATTTTTTGGCCATAACTTCTGAAATACGAAACCAAAAATTCTGAAATTTTTAGAGTTATTAGGTAAAACTATTTAAATTATCTTGTTAAAATTTAGGCCCGTTTTTACTTTTAAATTAAAAAATAAAATTTGTTTACAAGGACAGTGTCATCCTCTTTTTCCCATTCCCAACTTGCACGATATTCACATTTATCCAATTTGCAATTTGCTGGCCATTTAAATTCTTTAAGGCAACTATGAGGTGTTGGAAGATTTGAGGAGGATAATTCTTTAATATTTTTATCTGAAAAATTTTAAAAATTAAATTAGTTTTATTTATTTTATTAGTTTTGGTGTGGTAGTAACGTTAATGCAGCGCCTATAAATTAGCCAAATGATCTCTTAAAATTCTAAAATTTTGCATAGATATCCATAAATGTGTCTTCTCCCTTCCCTAAAAATTTTAGAATTTTTGGTTACAAATATCAAAAGTTATGGCCAAAATACCACCAAAAATTGGCATTTTTCACTAAAATTCTGACATTTTCGTTCATAAATTCTGAAATATTTAATCCAAAATTCTGAAATTTTTATCAGATAAAGATAAGACATTTAGAAATATCCATACAAATTTTCACGATTTCAGGTCAACTTTAGAATATTTTATAGACCCGTACGTAACGTCCTCACTTCCTCCAACGTGCTAAACTTCCCTCAAAGTCCATTGAAAACTAATTCGGTGAAAAAAAGTTCGGTGAAAAGACCCCTTATTTTAATTAATTAAAATGCTTTTCTAATTACCCCTGCATGTTCTAATACAAATTTCAGCATCAGAAGCATACAAAGAATCAGCTACCGGAACAGAAATATTTCCACTCTTTTCAAAACGTCCACCAGATATTGGGAACAAAAATCTAACACAATTTCCATCTTCTTCACCAAAATCTAAATCTTCCCCAGCAGAATCACCCGTTCTGCGTTTTCTAGAAAATTTTGCTTTGAATACTCCATCTGTGTAATTAAATATTCCTTCGTGTAATTGAATATCTTGTTGTGTATCTGGACGGAATTGCTCTGGAAAATTGAGGAAAAATAAGAAAAAAATTATTTAGAGCTTTTCCCCCGAAAATTAAAAAAAATATACACTCGTACCTCATTATAACACACACTCGTACCTCATTATATACACTCGTACCTCACTAGTAATGTCCCAGAAGGGGAAAATCCTATTCCCGACCATATTGGTTGTTGTTCCTCTTTTTGAATTTTTTTTTAATCCACTCGGGCGTACCTTATAATTAGGTGTATCTTAAATTAGGAGGTATCACTTAGAAAAGATCAATCCTTGGTACTAGAGATCTAGCTGGACCTGGACCAAGGCCTGGGTTTTTCCTGTACCCGGAGCACCAGGCACCTGTTTTTCCTGGATTTCCTGGACTACAGGCCCAAGACCCGGCCCAGGCAATAAATCAAACCCAGAACTCAGGAACAGGCCCAGGCTTTTCAAAAATCTCGTCCTTTACTTAGTAGAGGTGCTCTACCGAATGAGCTTCCAACCTTCTTATGTATATTTTAAATTCCCGACTAAAAAGCGTTCTAATAGGCTGCTGGATATCCCTTCTTCCTTAGAGACCGATTATAATCGGTATCTGGATATCTTACAACCCTAAATAAAAGAAGAAAAATTAGCCACCCAATTTTTCATCCACATGCATATCGATAACTTCCAATTTCCCAATTTCTTCTGAATTTCTTTCCAAAGTCCCAATAACAATCATATCAGCATCTAGTAATGTTCCAGAAGGGGAAAATCCTATTCCAGACCAAATCGGTTGTTGCTCTTCCTTTTGTATTTTTCTGTAAACTGCTGGAATTGTTTCTAATTGAAAGTGAAGGGAATCCTGAAATTAAGAAAAAAAGTTTTCTCGAGTTGGTAGATTCTGAAGATTCTGAGTGAAATCCTGAGGATTCACTTAATCCTGAGAGTAATAACCTTGTTAAAACTTATATGGGAGATAGAAAGAATATACCTTTCAAAACTAAGGAGATTCCCCAAATTTTAGCCTTTTATTGTGTTCCATCTTCTTATCCCCCCCCCCCCCCCCCCCCACCAAAAAAATTAAAAACCCACACTATTTTGGTCTAAAAACCATTCTATACTATAATGGCATTTTTTATCTCCAAATCCACATCCTTTAGGCCATTTCCATTCCCCCTTACAAATATCCATTGAGGGCTCTATTGTGGTGATTTTTTCTGTTGTTGAAACTTGTCCACTGTGTTTGTGGGGGGAAGATTCTTTTAATTCTTGAATATTTGTTGATTTTTTATTAGTTTTTATTTCGGGTTGAATTGTTGTGGTAGAGAGTGAATTTACTTTAAAAAAATTAATTTTTGATAATTTTAGGAAAAATTTTGGAGAAAAAAATTTTTAAGGAAAATAGCAAGTTCATCAAAGTCATGAACCACGCAAATTCTTTTATTTATATTTCTTTAAGACTAGAAACTTTTTTTGAAGTTTTTGGTGTCATTCGATAGAGAATTAAATAGGCTATAAGATATCCAAAAATCAGAATTTTTTATTGATAAACAAAAAAGTTGTGTTCGAAAAACTAAGAAAAATAGGGTATTTTGACAAGTTGCAGTCAGTTTTTTGACCAGAACTTTTCTCAAAAATAATCAGAAATTCTGGTTTTAAGTCATTTTTGTAGCAAATTTAATTCTCTATCCAAAAATATTAAAATCTCTGAGAAACGTCTAGCCATTCTCGAGTTACAAGGCAAAATACGATTAGAGATCATCATCAGCTAATTAAAGCAAAAATTTAATTTTTAATTTTTTCTCCCAGATTTCTTCCTAAAAATTTTTTTTGTAAATTTACCAGCAGGACAGTCGCCCCAATAAATACACTTTCCACCAGATCGAGCATATCCTTGTCTACAAGCACAGGATGGCTTTCCACAATTATGGCATTCTTCGCGTTCGAAGATTGATAGACAATCTGCTTCACATACAGCTCCACATTCGTTTATACTTTAATTTAAAAAATTTATTTTTTATCAAAAATGGAAGCTCAACATCCTTGCTTTAAAATTTTTTCAAAATAGGAAAGGTTACGGTATTTTCTCTCCTTTTCTCTGGTAGTCAGAGAAAATCTCTCTTTTGCCCATTGTCTCTCGCTGTAAAATCGGTGTGCTATTTTTAATTACTCTTTCATATAAATCTCAACAATATCCGACATAACCCATACAATTAAAATCCCTAATATGTCCCACATTATTAAATATCACAATCCCCCAGATATCTCAGATCTGTTTCCAGGTATAATTTTAAATCCCTACGTTTCATTAGCTCCGCATTGAAGTCTTCCAATTTGAGGGGTTTTGACAGTTGCTGAAACCGAGGCATTTTTTGGTTCATTTCGTTCTTTTAAATCTGAATACAAATAGAAAAATATTAAAAAAAAGTCGCCTTCTAATGGACGCTCCCTAAGAGGGCGTTTATTAGAAAGAGGGGTCTCTTATAGTAGACACAGCATAAGTAGATAATACCACCTCTCCAATAGTAGCCTACGCTAATAATCCAATACCCCTTTCTAATAAACGCCCACCAAAATTTCAAATTAATTCCTTCTCTCTAATAAACGCCCACCAGAATTTTCAATTAATTCCCTCTCTAATAAACGCCCACCAAAATTTCCAATTAATTCCCCTCTCTCTAATAAGCGTCCACCAAAATTTCCAATTAATCCCCTCTCTCTAATAAGCGTCCACCAAAATTTCCAATTAATCCCCTCTCTCTAATAAACGCCCACCAAAATTTCCAATTAATTCCCCTCTCTAATAAACGGCCACCAGGTTTTCCAATTAATTCTCACTCTCTAATAAGCGCCCAACAAAATTCCCAATTGATCCCCTCTCTCTAATAAACGGCCGTTCAAAAAGTCAAAAAATTAACCAACTTGGGCATTCTGTCCATTCAATACAAGGACCTCCAACCGATAACCGAACAAAATTATCAGTACAAGTACACCCCGGCATTTCACAAACAGAACTACAAGGTTCTTCACTATACATACTCTGACAGGTAGGTTCACAAGCATTCCCACATTTTTCCCAAATTTCGTTTTTTGGGCATTTTTGTTGTTTTACTTGCTCTTTATTTTTAATTTCTTCTTGAATTAATTCTGGTGTTGCCTTTTTAAATAAATTAAATTTAGAAGGAGACTCGGAAGTTTCGGCACTGATACTTTATAAATATCCGAGGCGATCGTTTAATTCCCAAATCCGGGTTTTCCTACTATACTCCGAGGTCAACCATTCCTTTTACAGAAAATAATTCATCAGCTTTTGAATTTACAACGAACCTCCCTGAACAAGCAGAAAATAGAGAAAAATAGGAGCACGAAATTCCAAATCCGTATAACAAATTTGCCGGATTGGGTCCATCTTTGCAACTAGATTCGGACCGGATCCGGACAGATTTTTCTGGATTAATCCGATTTTGGGACCCGGACTCCGGAAAATTAGGGAGATACCCCTTGGCGCCTAAACGACGTCCCTCTACCTCAATTTAATTACTTTAAAAATTTTTTCAAAAAATTTTCTTCCTCACTTCCGGCGCCTGACAAAAACTGAAAGGTTTGCATTCATTCAAATTCTTTCCCAACCGAACAAAACCTTCAACACAAACACATCTTGGTTTCCCACATTTCTGTTCAGAAGTGCGTGATGGACATATAGGTATAGACTCGGGGAAAGCTGTCCATTCACAGCTTGGTTCACACTCCCTTTCCGAGTCTGGGCATTGCTCCCATCGTTGATTTGTGTCACATTCTGTTAGAAAAAATTTTTCAAACATATAGTAGAACCTTATTTATTATATAAGATACCCATCTCACCCCTCCCCCCCCTACTTCGCGTTGAGGCCGGAAAAATTGTAGCCGTTTCGGCGCGGGCTTATAAAATTAGCAAAAGAGCACATAAAATCGTGAAATTTTGTGGAGATATCTCTAATAGTGTTATCTAACACTTCTGAAAATTTCAGAATTTTTGGTTCCGTATTTCAAAAGTTCTGGTTGAGAATATCAGAATTTTCGTGAAAAATGTCAATTTTTGGCTGTGTTTTGGCCAGAACTTCTGAGATACTTAACCAAAAATTCTGAAATTTTCAGAATTGTTAGCTAACACTATTAGAGATATCTCCACAAAATTTCACGATTTTGGGTGCTTTTTTGTTAATTTTACAAGCCTGCGCCAAAACATCATTTTTTCATTAAGAGGAAATTCCTCTCACCTTCCCCCTCAAATTCCCCTCAAAATTTCCTCTCATTTCTCACATTTTAAAAAATTAATTAAGCACCTTCTATAGCTATTCCAGACAAAATTTTTTCTGTTTCTGATTTATTTGAATTTTCCTCAATTAATTTTCTAATATTTAATGAAGTCGAAGATTTGTTTATTGAAGGAATTTGATTTAAATTATTCGAGTCTGTTGAGTCGACTGTTAAGGAATTCTCGCCTTTCTCTTGTTCTACCCTAACTAAGGGTCCTCCTCCTGCTTTTGCTCGGGTTTTGCTTCGTTCCATTTTTTCTGAAAATTTTTTTGGAATTTTTGGGGATTTTCAAAAAATTTTCAAAATTTTTAGAAATTTTTTGGAAAATTCTCAAAAATTTCAAAATTTTCCAAAAATTTTAAAAATTTTCGAAAATTTCAAAAAATTTTTGAAAAATTTTCGAAAAAAATTTTTTTCAAAAAAATTTCAAAATTTTTAAAAATTTTGAAAATTTTCGAAAATTTTCGAAAAAAAATTTCAAAAATTTCCAAAAAAAATTTTTTTTTAAAAATCCCAGACTTTCTTTTTGCCATTTTTCCATAGCTACACGACAATTTTTATCAGATTCAGTTGATTGTATTCCCAAAATAAACCATCTCGCCGCTTCATTTTTCTTAATTTCCTCATCGAAAACAAGCCCCAAATTAATAATATTTTTATCAATATTAGCTAGCCATTTTAATTCTGTTCCGCTTTCAGGAAATTTGATTGATTGGAGTGAATCAGAATTTTGATTTAAAGAAGAAATTGTTGTTGGGGGATTTTCTGAAATTAATTTTAAAAAATTAAATAATTTTTTTGGCGTTCTGTAATTTTCCTACAGTAATTAAATTTATGAATACACCTTGAGATACAACTTGAGGGGATACCTACACTTCTATCTAAAGTACCCCCTCGTTATTATCGACTCTGCGGGAATATTGTAAAGCATAATTCCTAATTCCTAAACCAGACGCCCAAATATCAGCCGCCCTGTTAGTTGAATGAGAAATAGCTTCTTAACCTTGGTCAGGTTCTGAATGAGATCTTACTGGATTTTGATTTTTCTATATATTTGGAATATCGAAAGAATTACACGTACGGTCGAACCCGAAGCCGTGGGACGTTTAATACAAGCTGAAATCGGAACTTCTCGATTTTTTTGAAAACGAGTCAACCCTGGAAACAACGCCTCTTTTGAGCAAAGAAATCCCCGAAAATTAAATTTATTCAATCCTTCCTTACCATTTTTGCAATATTCTCCAAACCTTCCATTTAAACAAAAACAATTTCCATCCAAACAATTTCCTCCAAATAAACATTCTTTATTTTCTTTACATTCTTTCTCAGCTTCCTCCTCTCCTCCAACCTCCTCTACTCCTTTTTCTGCAGGTTTTACACTAACTTGGGCACAACTAACTAGTTGAATTCGTTCATCCAATTCTACACTTAAACGGAGTGTACAAAGATTACAACGAAGCCCTTCTGGTATTTGTGCCATCATTGAAACGATTGAACTTAAAAAGTATTTTGTTTAATATTTTTCTCTGGCAGTTAGAGAAAATCTCTTATTTTCCCGTTGTCTCTTTCATACGGTGAGGTTGTTTATCAGGGGTGTACCGAAACTGATTAAAGCTAAAATGAAAGGCTATCTCTTCCTCAGCAATCCCAAAAATCCCAATTCCCAGATATCCCTAGCTTATAGATATCCGGTTTGAATCACACTCGTCTTTATTTTATCCCAAATGAGTGGGATAGATTCCACATTTCTTTCTTAAATTAAATCCCATACTTATTCCAGTTCTTTTAATATCTACCATATCCCACTTTAATTCATCCCTAACTGTGATAAGTTAGACTTTCTAGTCCTTCACTACCTGTTTTTATCAATCATTTCTCTCTTTTCGTCTTTAATTATATCTAGCCGAGAGAGTAAATGCCCTCCAGAATCGCTTGAAAATAATTCCAACTTTGCAAGTTCAACAGGTAAATGTCCAGGATCATGCCAACGAACCCGAAATTGAATGCCGGAGAGAACATTGTTTATTGGGTCTATTAAAAAATTGAAAAAATAATAATTTTTTTAAACTTGTGCATTTTAATTAGAGTTGGTCCTAGATCCAGATTTTGGTCTAGAATCAACAAAAGATTCATCAAGTTCACGTTCTCATCCGACGATGATTTTTAGGCCATTCCGATCCCCGACATAATATTCTCCGTCATCCGCGTTCTCAGAAAATAGTTTATCCCACAAGTTCTGGACTAGCCCTACTTAGAGCACCTTGGTCATCTGAAAACTTGTCAATTCCACCAAAAAGTCATCTCTAGCTTATCTGAAACAAGGTACCAGATTCTTCCTACTTTCAAAGGAAAATAATTTTCCGAAATACTCATTACTCTATGGTTGTCGGCTTCAAACCGAATCGAACCCCGAAGATTTTCGGTTCGGTTTGTCTGTTAACCGAAAGGTTCTGACGAAACCGACAACCCTATTCACTACTCTCTTATCTCTTTAATTGCCCCAATCTCTCAAAATTCTTTAATAATTTTCCAATTTCTTTTACAAATTCCAAATAATTAATATTTCAAATATCTTTTTCGTTTTCTATAAAAACAAGAAAAATATCCCCTGTGGTGATTTTGGTCATTTCTTTTCCAATTAGGTCATCGGCAACCCAACACACACACAAAAACAAAGCCAATTAACCCACTCAAAAATATATAAATTATTTTAAACAAAAATGTGTGAATTAATGGGGATATTTTTTTGTTTTAAAAAGGGAAAAACTAGATTTATGACATCACAAAAAATTTAAAAATAAAATTATTAATTAAATGCCTAAGGCGGTTTTAGAGTAAATTAAATGGAAAATAAGTCTTTTTTAATTTAAAAATTGGAAAAAATCGAGAAAAAAAATTTCAAAAAATCTCTGAAAAAATTTCAAAAAATTCTTAGGGTATAAAAGTTTTTTATAAATAAAAACCGACAATTTTTTTCATTATTATCTATTCAAAAAACGACACGAGGAATCGAACCTCATACCTTTACACACAAAATTTGAAACTTTCCCACTACACCAAACTTTTCTTAACTCAAAGTTAATTAAAAAAAGCTCTCATTTATTCATTAATTAATGAAGGTTACAGTAATTGTATGGAATAACTCAATTTAAATTAACATAACTTTGGAAAGTGAGAACCTTTAGGCCTAAAATTTTGTATAAAAATCATTTATAGTTCTAGCCAATTACTCTAAAAATTTCAAAATTTTTGGAAAAGTATATCAGAATTTCTGATCAAAAATGTCAGAATTTCTTTAAAAAATGTCCTCTTTTTGAAGTTTTTTGACCATAACTTTTTAAATACTGAACCAAAAATTCTGAAATTTTCAGGGAATATAGTTGATACCTTTAAATATATCCTTGCAAAATTTTATGAATTTAGGAGACTTTTAGGCTATTTTATGAGTCTGCGCCGAAACGTCCTACACATTATAGAGAGGGAAATAAAGCTGATTTCTTGGCTTTTTACAATTAAAAAATAATTTTTAAAAAATTTTTAATTAGTTTTTCATTTATTTTCAACCATTCCCTTCAATAAAAATTAATATTTTCACCTTTTTCGGTGCTCGGAGTAGGACATGTAGTCTCCGGCAGTCGTTGTGCTACAGGTCCATTTTCCAATAATCTAGCTATTGGCTCTACTAATTTAATACTTGGTTGGTGTTTTTGTTGTGAATAAACTAATTTTTGTGTTGAAAATACAAAAATAAATAAAAATAAAATTAATTGGGATTTTTTGTAGTTTAAGGGGATTTTGGTAGTTGTTGACCAAGAGGAGTTAACACCCATTTTTAATGGAAAGATGAAAGAATTTTGGAGAAGACTATTTAAAATTAATTTTTTTCTTGTTCCTTTTTAACTAAATTACCTTAGAAAAATTTTAAAAAATTTATGAAAATTAAAAAAAAAATTTTCCTGATTTTTTAATTTATTTAAAAAATAAACGAGAGATAACGCAAAAAGAAGAGAATTTTCTCTAACTAAGGATGGAGTTTGCCCATCTGTGATAACCAAAGCATTGGGATATGTGGGAGGGTGGGATATTATTTTTTAGAGATTTTTGGTGGATTTTAACCAAGAAAAAATTTAAATTTAATTAAACCAGATAGACAGAATTTTAAAAAAATCGACGAGAGATAACGCAAAAAGGAGAGATTTTCTCTGCCTGTCAGAGAAAAAATTTAAAATAAATTTGAAAAAATATATTAAAACATTAAATTAAATTTCTAATATAAAATTATTATATTTGTAATTTATTTGTCTTTTAAAATCACAAAAATAAATGCAAAAAAAATCTAGGTTGCCCTTTTGTTTATTGGGTAACTTCCGGTTTTCTTTAATTTAAAAATTCAAAAAAATTTGTTTGAAAAGAAAAATACAAAAGAAAAGAACAAAAATATAAATATTCATATAGCTGCTGCAAAATTTAGTAAAAGTATGGAAATAATTTTGTAAAAAATAAAAGGCGCCAAAAAATAATTTCTCCAAAGTTTTGTTGGGTGAAAGTAGAGAAAGGGAATTTGAACAAAGAAATTATTAAATTAATAATTAAAGGTTTAGGCTTTTTAAAGATTCTCTTGGATTTTTTAACGAAAAAATTTTCAAAAATTTCAAGAAAAATTTTAAAAATTCAAAGATTTTTGTTACAGTGATATATTAGAGATGATCTCTAACTAATTTTCTCTAACTACGGAGTCTACCAATCTGGGATAACTAAAAAAATTAAGATATGTAGGAGGTTGGAAATTAACTTTTTAGAGATTTTATGATGGAGTTCAACTAAGAAAATAATAAAAATTTAATTTAAACTCGATACCTAAAGAGATTTTTAAAAAATAGACGAGAGAGTGTGGAAAAGTGAGAGATTTTCTCTAACTTTAAAAAGAAAAGTTGCAAAACTAATTATAAAATAAATTTAATAATAAAAAAATATTTTCTTAAGATTAAACCAGAATTTGTTGAGAAATTTAAAAGCGGAAGAAAAGAAAAGAAGACAGTTAAAAATAAAAATAAGATAAAGTCAATGAAGCGGTTATTTGTGGGGAGGATTTATTGAAGGAAGGATATTACAATTTTTATTGTTGCGCTCATCCCCCTTTCCACAAAGTACAACACAACTCTTCTTTTTTCTAGGAGAGTTGATTTACCTGTAATAACATTCCCAATATTCCCCCCTTTACTTTTTTTTCTTCACAACTCATCCTTTACTTAGATCCAAAAGATCGCTCGCTGAGAGATCAATGCTTAAGCAAAACGGAAGGGTAAGAAACCTAAAAATCTCTGTCTTATCCACTTGTTAGGGAATATCTCGGATCCAATATCTCGTACCCCTTTATATACCTCTCTAATAGTCGCCCAACCTCATGTAAATATTTAATTCCGCCTTTCGGAGCCAAAACAACCTTTACAGCCCACAATACTCTCGCCTCTCTCCAACTCCAACACTTGAAGGAGGCTGCTATAAGGCAGAGATTTGCTAATGATTGGCGTGATATGAAGAAAATTGAGATATCTGAGAGAGAATACAGGGACTCAAAAAACACAAAATCAGGCTCTAATGAAGCAGAATCCAGTTTATCTTCTGCCTCCACCTCGCTATTACCTTTCAAGCTTAAAAAACAACCAAAAATAGCCAATTTTAAATATTTTTGTCACCGCTTATTTTCTTATAAAATATATCCCCTCATCTTTTTCTTATTTTCAACACTCAATTAAATAGACAATTGTTTATCCATGCAGTTAATTGCGCATTTATTTTGCTAACTAAAGGTTTAAAGGCTTTTCAAAAAATTGTTTCTCCGCTATTTTTGGTTAAATAAACAATTGGATTTGTTCTTTTAAAAGTTCGTTTCCTTCTGATAGACGCCCTCTCTCTAATAATAGCCCTTTTCTATTATAGAGGATTTTTTCTGAGGATGGGCGACTATTAGAGAGGGGGGATATTATTGAAGTGAAATATTCTAATACCCCACTATATAGTCCTCTCTAATAGTCGCCCTCTCTAAAAGGTGGTACTCTCTAATAGTAGCTAGCCCTTTTTATTAGAGAGAATATTCTTTTGAGTGGGCGACTATTAGAGAGGGGGCTTTTATTGACGTAAAATACTTTAAATACCACTTCTGATCCCTTCCTAATTGAATAAAGCTTAAATAAAAATAGAACAATTAAAAATGAATAAATAAAAAATATAAATTTATTGGGGAAGGAAAGCGATGCAATAAAAAATAAATAAATAATTGTGGCCAACTCGGCATGACTCCAAAAAATTTTCTTTTTCCTTACAAAATAAATACTAAAGAAAAAAGAAAATAAGATTCTTTTGTTAGGACAAGGATTGCGCAGAATTCTTTTTAAATAAAAATTTAATCTTTAAAAGGGTATAATTGGGTGGTTTTGGGGAGGTAGACAATTAGGTTTTGATGAACTTGTTTTTGTATAAAAT